TCTTCATGGCGGCGATTGCGAGGAGAATGCGTAGTGAGGTGTGGCGGCTAACCGGAGCGAAAGTTTCGGTGAAGTCGCGTCCGTGTTCTTGGTCGAAGCCGCGTACAACCCAGCGAGCTTTAAATTTGTCAATGGTGCCGTCAGCCTTTGTCTTCACACGGAAGACCCACTTCCCGGTGAGCACTGTCTTGTTCCGTGCCACGCCGATAGGAACCACTTTCCACGTGTTGCGTTCCTCCAGTGCCTTCAGCTCCTTGTCCATGGCTTCGCGCCATTTTTTCTTATGTTCCCCCCCCAGAGCCTGTTGAACCGTCGCAGGCTCTTTAGGAATGGCGGTGCCGTGGACTGCGGTGACGAGTCCGAGAATTTGCAGTCCACTCTGTGAGTAGCGGGGAAGATTTGCGTCCTCGGGATAAGCTGCTTCATCTCCCGCTTCTGGATCAGGTATGAAGTTGGGTCCTACTCGTTCTGCTTCGTTGGTGTTGACTGTCGCAGGTGTTACGTAACCGTTGTCGGCGAAATAGTAGAAGGTTTCGGCGTTGACACTTTCGCGAGGGTTATCTTCGTCCATGGGAACGTCCACGGAGCAGAACGGAAGAGGTCCGGCTTCTTCTGATGCGTTGTCCACATTCTGCTCGTCCCAGTCAGCTTCGTCCGTTGCTGAGGCGAAGGCTCGGTCACCGCGAAAACCACCTGTGGGATCCTGGTCTTCTTGCAGGTTGGCAAGGTATGTCTGGAGCGTGAGTCGTTCGTAGAAAATTACATCACGTGCTGCTACTGTTTCCTTGGAATGGACGTCGAAGATTTTCCACGCGTTGTAGTTCTTTTCGATTCCCAGGTGTAGTCCCCACTGTGCTCGTTGAGAAAATCGGCCCGCTCGTGCTGCTGGGGGTCGGTACTGTACCATGCATCCGAATACTCGTAACATTTTTGTGCTGCCCTGTTTCCCTGTCCATAGCAGATGCGGTGATGCGTTGTTTGGAAGCGATGATGACGAGAGCAAGTTGTGCAGCATGACGGCGTGGTCCATTGCCGCAGGCCATTGGTGGTTGGGTAGCCGCATGCCACGTAACAGTTTGCGCATGCTGTTCTGCAAGGTCCTGTTCATTCTTTCTGCTACGCCTTGCTGCTGATGGGCGTAGGGAAGGGAGATGAGCCGCTTGATTCCCCTTTCCGCCAGGTACTGCTTGAATCGCTGAGAGGTGTATTCTCCTCCTCCGTCTGACTGGAAGCTTTTCAGTTTCACGCCCGATTCTCTCTCTGCTACTGGTAGCCAGGCAACGAAGGCTGCGAATGCCATGTCGCGGCTAGGGAGGTTTAGGTGCCAGACGTAACGGGTGGCGGCGCCGATGAAGGTGATTGTATAGTTGTATATTAGTCCTGGTTCCCGATTGTACAGGATGTCGCTATACACCTTCTCGAGTGGTGCGTACGCGGGTGCGCTCGGGTTGTGATGAGACGCAAACGGTCGATGTGGTAAGTCACCTTCAGGGCAGGTGAGGCACGTTCCGCGTACTCGTTGAAGTTCTCGTCCGTCGGTCAGTAGGAGTGAGTCCTTGTCGAGTACTCCTGCTCTTATCGTATTGTTTAATACTGTGTTGCTTGGGTGTCCCATCCTTGCGTGCCAGGTGCTTTCGTCGGCGCGATGTCCGGGTGATCGTCGGTACATATCGGAGTTGGAGTAGAAGTTGGCGGTGAAGTTGGCGCTACGATGAACTTCTCGTGGTGCTGGGTGTAGTTGTTGCGCGGGTGTCGGTGGTGTGTCAGGGATGAGGAGCGGTGTCGTTGAAGGACCAGCAATTGGTGTTGACGTTCCTGCTGCTGCCGTTGATGGTTCTGCTACTGCCGATGTTGTCTCTGCTGTTGCCGATGTTGTCTCTGCTGCTGCCGATGTTGTCTCTGCTGCTGCCGATGTTGTCTCTGCTGCTGCTGATGTTGTCTGAATTGTTGCTAACGCCCTTGTTCTTTCTGCTTCAGGGATGGTGTGTGAATACCAGAAGCCTTCTGGACTGAAGTCTGGATCAAGGTCTGGAGGGTGTGTCCAGTTGGTGAAGTTAACGATGGCGTCGCTGTCGGCGGTGCCAAGATCAGGAACGAAGTCAAGAACGAAGACGTTGTTCTTGAGGACCGCCTTGCCGATGTAAAGTCCTCCTCTCCCGTGATACAGCTTGAATTCTTGGGTGGTGCTGTCTGCTTCGAGGTGAATCCCTTTCGCCATTAGCTGACTGACGCTCAGTAAGTTGTAGCCGAGTCCCTCCGCGATTAGTACTTTTGACATCTGCAGTATAACGTTTGTTTCCCTTGACTGAAGTTGAACTACGCCTTGTCGTCGTGTTCGCAGGTTCTGATTGTTGGCGACTGTAATGACAACTTCGCGTTGAAGTTGGTGTTCTCGTTGAACGAAGCGTCCCGAGGAGCACATGTGCTGTTCGCAGCAACTGTCCAAGAACCATGTGTCTCTTCCGGATGGTTCGCTTTGGGCGATGGCGGCGTATGTCGGGTTCGGCTGAAGTGACTCGCGGCGGGGTGTGGTTTCGTCGAGTTGTTCTTCCGGTGAGTAGTGTGGTGGTGACTTGGTGATGCAGGAGTCACTCAGCTTTGCCATGCAGCTGACGATGTTTCTTGCTCCTTGTGCAGGTTGTCCCGTTGAAGTCGTTGAAGCTTGAATCTGGGTCGTGGGATTTGCTTGTGTTGAGGCGATTTGGCTGCTTGAAGGTCGAAGTTGCCGCTGTGGAGTTGTTGACTGTTGACGATTCGGGCAGTGCGTACGCGGGTGTCCTGAAGTTTTGCAGATGTGGCAGAACGGAGGTACTGGCTTCGGTTGTTGCTGCCGGTTGTTGTTGTTGTTGTAGCGTCGCTGAGTGTGAAACGTGAATTCCGGTGCTGATGTCTTCTTTTTGTGTCGTTCTTCTTGCAGGTCCATGTCTTGCTGCTCGGCGTGGATTTTGGCGCAGAGCGCTGCTTCGGAGATTCTTCCGTGAGCTCGGAGAATGGCCTTTGTGGCGCGCCATTGAGGACCGAGGCCGCCGATGATGACTGTCACGAAGGCGTCTTCAGAGATCGACCCTCCGCATCGAAGAAGCTTGTCGCGCAACTCGCGACATCGACTGATATACGCCATTCCTTTCTCCCCTGGTTTCATTTCAACCGTTGTCAGTGGCGCCATTAACCGACTTTGGCTTACGCTGTCTGTTGCTTGATACAGGCTCTTCAGGTGGTTGTACGCGAGCTCCGCGGAGTTGCCGTAACCTCGGTAAGACCTTATATTCTGCTGTTGAATCGGGGTGATATTCCTCAGTAGGATCGTGTACGCCATCATTGACTGATAGGTGTACTGCTGCTTCTCGTACTGTGTGCCATTTGTTGGGTATGGCAGAGACCCGTCGAAGAACCCGAGTATCTGCGCGCCTTCCATCATCAGCTCGAACTCGAACGACCAGGTGAAGAAGTCCTTTCCATCGAAGGGTCTTGACGTCTGCATCTTCAGAACGTGTGCGAACTGCGACTGAACTTGTAATGCGTCCAGTGATTTTTCTTGTCCAGGTGAAGGCTGTGGGTGTGGCATAAAGCTGATGGACCCGCGCTTGTACGGAGCAAAGGTAGGCTGCTGTTGTTGATTTCCTCGTGCATATGATGAGCCGTCGAGACTCATGGGTGTTGTTCCGTTGTTGTTGCTGTTGTGTGACTGCGCAGGTGCCGATTGCTGATGTTGCTCGTAGAAGGACATGAAGGAGAAAAACTTCTCCATCATGCTCTGGTCGAAGTCTGCAGGTTGATTCGCGGGAGTCTCGGTAGATGTTGCTCTGGGTCTTGTTGCCGTGCCCTCCTCTGTCTGTAGGCCAGAGGCAGGAGGTGGAGTAGGAGTAGTGCCCTGGGAGCCGTTGGAGTTGCTCCTTTCCTTTTGTGTAGCCATGCTTGTTGATGTTGTCGGTATAGAAGTTGAATTCCCCCTGATAGCTCTCATACCATGTTGGGCTGAAAAACCCCATAGGATCTTTGCAGGGGTGAACTCTGGGTAGAGTTGATGTAATAGCGGAAGCGTTAATTAAAGAGTTGTGAACCACCTTGCGCTAGTATGTGAGGGCAAAGTAAGTTGATTAAAACAAAGAGATACAAGCTTTTATAAGAGTACAAGGAATACGAAGAGATACAGTTAATAACCATTTTACTATTGCTGTTGCGGTTCGATACAGTGACGACCAGGGCCCTAGATATCAGACTTTGGAGTCCGATTCAGAGTCCGTTCAGACTTTTTTTTGTAGCCTAGTCTGAACTCAAAGAATTTTTTTAGGGACCCTGTCTGATTTTCCAGAGTTTTTTTACCTGACTTGTCTGAAATTTCAGACTACTTTGAGTAGTGTACGCTGACCCTCAGACTTGTATCGGGGGTGCACTCTGAAACCGCTTATACAGGGGTTTGGGCCTGCCTGGCGGCGTGTAGGCCCCGTCAGTCACGGGCGGGAACCCAGAAATTTCGCCACCGCGGCACCGCACAGTCGCGTTGGTACAGAATTGCTGTGATCAACACCAATTCCAACCAATCGCGGCTGCGCACCAGGCAGTGTTGGCAAGATTCCTTGCCAAAACTTATCTCGCAGCGCGGTGCACCAACGTTTGACACCACGACCACCCACCACACCTCCCCTTCATTGTTGCCAGCGCATAGCTCACAGGGCGCTGCCACTCTCACTTCACCACATACATCCACCCCACCCCACCTTCCACGTTGCCTACGCATAGCTCGCACCGCGCTGCTACTCTCACGTGACCACATCCATCCACCCCATTCACCCCACCTTCCCACCATTCACGCCCAGGTGCCGTGCATGCAGTGACCACCTGGGGGTTGAGAGGTCCTTATGACCTCTCATCTTCCTCTTCGTCACCGTGCTTGCCAGGCTCTCTCACATCTTTCCGTTTGCCTGGCCTGAAACTAGTGTAGGAGCCCTTGTTTCAGCCTCCCTTTTCCGAGCTCGCTACACCACTGCTCGGCAGGCTCAATGGCTGCCTCAGAAGCTGTCGATGATGGGCCCGACGAGGAGGATGATGCTGATGTTCGCCCAGCTTCGGACCCACTCACCGGTCTAGACTTCCTTAGGTCTCTCCTACCGAAACATAATCCACAGCAACCTAAACCATCGCAACCCAGCTCTATTCGCCCATCGATTCCCGCTGCCTCTGCTGCTCTGCACGAGGCCGTCGCTGCACCACCGACAAACCTGCGGTTCCGTCAGTCCACCATTGCGTGGGCAACACCACCTCCTCCATCGACCACTGAGACTCCTGCCAGTGATGCATCTCTCATGCAGGACAACTCGAAGCCCACGCAGGCTAGCTCAAAGCCCAAGGCCGACACGCCTGAGTTGAAATATGAAGATGCGCATGCGCGGTACAAATCCAAGTGGTCCACCGATTTCAGTTGGCTTGTCCTAACTCAAACCTCCACTGGTGCTCCTTCTTTCAAGTGCAGTATTTGCTTGGAATTTTCAGGACTGAATGGCAAGTGTGGGCGGCGTACCGAGGGAGCAACCGACGTGCAGACACAGTCCTTCAAGAAGCACGAAGGGACGGTGAAGCACCGGTTTGCTCTGCAGCGCCAGGAGGACTTGCTCCAGAAATACGTGCGCCAGCAGCGCATCGACATGCACCCGAAGGCGCAGGACTTGGAGATGCTGCAGGTGTCTTCGCTCGTGGACTCGCTGTACTTCATGGGAAAGTCCAACGAGCCCATGGACTCGTGGATCCGGTTGGTGCGCTACCTGGCGAAGAAGAAAGTGCCCGGGTTTCCCGCGGAGGGCTACGGCACGTACTACAACACGTAAGTAGTGTCTGTAGCATGCCTGTTGGTTTGTTTCTGTTTGACTGTCACTAACGACTACGTTTTCTTTGTGTAGGTACGGATTTGGAGAACTCACCCAAGCAATTGCGACGTGGCTCCAAACAACGCAACTTGAGCACCTTCTGACGAGCCCATTCATCGGGATTACACTGGACGAGAGCACCGACCGTCGCCGCGGCAAACACATGATTGTGTTTGCCACCTTTCTCCGCGAGGGACAGGTTGTCACGGAGTTTATCGCCCACTTGACTGTTGAGAAGGCTGACGCTGCTTCTTTGTGCAGTTTGTTGGTTTCCCACCTCAGGGCTGTCGGCGTTGACCTGCGGCGTATCTCGGGAATGAGCACTGATGGCGCGTCTGTGATGGTGGGGAGTCAAAACAGTGTGGTTGCTCGCCTGCGAATGCTCATCCCCAATCTGGTCTCGTTTCACTGCATCGCGCACAGGTGCGTTTGTGTTTTAATGTGTCACACTCTGTATTGTTTAACCCTTTGTTTGTTTTAACAATCACTAACCCATTTGTGTGTTTCTGTTTGGCAGGGAGGCGTTGGCTGCCAAGGCCGCGGCGGAGCAGATACCAACGTTCAACATGGTGGACGATGTCATCCGCGCCGTCGCAGAGTACCTCGGGCGAACGTCACCGTGGCATCAGCGCTTCATGGAGCTGCAGGAGGTGTTCACCTCCACCAACCTCGAGGTCCAAGGCATACATGACGTGCGGTGGCTTTCACGAGGAGCTGCAGTCACCCGGTTCGTCCACGTCCTTCCAGCGATCATGGTGATGCTGTCGGAGTGGAAGGACAAGACCATGTACGAAATCGTCACGTCGTACAGGTTCCAGTTCCTCATCAGGTTCCTCGCGGACCTACTGGAGCAGCTCAACGTGCTCTCCTCCGTTTTCCAGAAGCGGGAGGTAAGTTCCCTACTACGTGTTTCATGTTTTGGTTGTCGTCCGCTTTGTACTAATTTTTTTTGAATGGGTTTGTTGCAGCTCGACTACGCGCAGGTGCACACGCAGATTGTGCGCACGACATCCATCTTGGAGAGCCGTTACGTCGACTGTGGTGACGACTTCGGGGGAGGGCCAACCGAGAGGCTGTACCGCTTCATCGAGAAGCACGGACCGCGTGGTTCACCAGAAATGGTGATCGAGGGAGCTTCGTCCGATGGCAGTCTCAACCGCTTCAAGGTGACGCTTCACGAGCGCACCAACCCGAACTATCGTGGGCCCGGCCACCACGACGCGTGCGTGGCGCTCTGCACCGACATGGCCGAGCATGTCGTCAAGAACCTCCAGTCCAAGCTTGGCGACCTTGAGTCTCTTTCTGGAGTGAGGCTGTTTATCCCTGACTTGTGGCAGCCGCAATGGGACCGGGACGCGCGGCAGGCACAGTGCCTGGAGTGGCTCTTGTCGCTTGTCACGTTGTTCCGCGCAGATGAAGCCGACGAGATCCTACCAGGTTAGTTTGAAGTGCCACCCGGTTCCCCCTCTCTCACGGCTTTTATACTAACCGTTGCCTCTTATACCTTGCAGGCATTGACAAGAAGAAGGCTATGAGGGAGCTTCGCACGCTGTGTCCAGTTCTTGCCAGAGCGCCGAAGAGTGAGCGTAAGTTCCACACGGGACTTACCGCCATTCTCAGGACACCCGATTGGCAGCAGGCGTACCCCAACCTCGTCGGACTCTGGGTTTAGGGTTTAGGGTTTAGGGTTGCGCTGTACTTTGTCAGGTCAAAGGTCGCTGACCTTTGACTTTCGCGTAACCTCCAACAGTTACTTTCAACCTCCGAGGGTTGACTCGCCGGTGATTCGTTATACTTCGTTTCTTTTGTGTCTTAGTATTTCGACACGACAGAGGCGTTTAAGACCGATTGTTTCCAACACCATATATATCCCGGACGAGAATGATGTAATGCCCATTTGAAACGAAGCTCGTTGCCATTGCACACACAAGAAAGCAAGCTTTCTAAATAGCAGCACAACCACCACAATCAGGGGGTTTGCTTGACATATACAACCACCACCATGCAAAGCCCCTGTGACAAGTCTCCAGACCAGGCCCCTAGATTCGTTTTGAGGTAGTCTGAGGCCTCAGAGTACACCCTGTCAGAGTTATTTGACATAGCTACTGTAGGCTATAGTGGAGTAGCACATATGGGGTACAGTTTCCTAGGGTTTGCCTTTTTTGTACCCAACTTTCACTTAGTCATTTTCATTCCTGTTTTCTTGATTCACATGGTATAGAGCGGGTTCCTACATGGGACCGTTCCTTCCTAAGGGCCCACCATAAGAAATTTTTTTTTAGCTGCCCACGCACATTGCGCCCTGCCCTAAATTTTTTTTTTAGCGGCCCCTACGCTGCCCCTACGCGGCCCCTACGCCGCCTCCCACGCGCCCCCTATGCGGCCCCTGGCGGCGCCCTGACGAGGCCCCTGCCGGCGCCCTATCGCGGCCCCTAACGCGCCCCCTGGTGGCGCCCTGACGCGGCCCCTGGCGGCGCCTGACGCGGCCCTGACGCGGCCTGACGCGGCCCCTGGCGGCGCCCTGACGCGGCCCCTGCCGCGGCCCTGAAGCGGCCCCTGACGCGGCCCTGACGCGGCTCTGCCGCGGCCCTGACGCGGCCCTGACGCGGCCCTGCCGCGGCCCCTGGCGGCGCCCTGACGCGGCCCCTGACGCGGCGCCCTGACGCGGCCCCTGCCGCGGCCCTGACGCGGCCCTGCCGCGGCCCCTGACGCGGCCCTGACGCGGCCTGCTGCGGCCCCTGCCGCGGCCCTGAAGCGGCCCCTGACGCGGCTCTGCCGCGGCCCTGACGCGGCCCTGACGCGGCCCCTGACGCGGCCCCTGCCGCGGCCCCTTGCGCGGCCCTGACGCGGCCCTGCCGCGGCCCCTGGCGGCGCCCTGACGCGGCCCCTGACGCGGCGCCCTGACGCGGCCCTGTCGCGGCCCCTGACGCGGCCCCTGCCGCGGCCCCTGACGCGGCCCCTGACGCGGCCCCTGTCGCGGCCCCTGACGCGGCCCCGCCACCTACCTTTCCGGCCCCGCCGCCTCCTCTCAGCGGCCCCGCCGCCTCCCCTCAGCGGCCCCGCCGCCTCCTCCCAACGGCCCCGGACGCCGCCCTCTCAGCGGCCCCGCCGAGCCGCCCAGCAGCCTAGCCGCCCAGCAGCTGAGCCACCGAGCCGCCCAGCAGCCGAGCCGCCGAGCCGCCCAGCAGCCGAGCCGCCCAGCAGCAGAGCCGCCGAGCCGCCCAGCAGCCGAGCCGCTGAGCCGCCCAGCAGCCGAGCCGCCGAGCCGCCCAGCAGCCGAGCCGCCCAGCAGCCGAGTCGCCGAGCCGCCCTGCAGCCGAGCCGCCCGAGCCGCCCTGTCCGGTAAGAGCAGCGCCTCTCTCACAGCACTGCCCTCACCCCACTGTTTGCGCTGCTAGTCTACTGCTGTCATGGCTACCCCTAGTGTCCTCGCTTTTGACGCTGAGGGTCGGGCCATTGACTTTGACGTCTGGATAGATGACCTGCAGCTTTTCTTACAGTGCGATAGGGCAGACGGCCTCTCCCTCTTTGACCTCACTTCTGGTGCCTCCCCTGCCCCCGCCACTGATGCTGACGCAACTGTTCGCTCCCAGTGGGCCACGCGCGATGCTGCTGCACGTCTTGCTGTGCGTCGCCACCTGCCTACCTCTGAGCGTGCGCACTTTAGCCAGTACAAGAGTGCTCAGACCTTGTACGACGCTGTAGTTGCACGCTACTCCTCCCCTGCCACTGCTGCACTGAGTCGCCTCATGCTACCGTACCTCTTCCCTGACCTTGCTGCCTTTCCCACAGTCGCTGACCTCATTACGCACCTACGCACTAGTGACACTCGCTACCGCGCTGCGCTTCCTGCTGAGTTCTGCGCCAAGAACCCCCCCCCCATGTACATCACCCTCTACTACATAGTCACCCGGCTCCCTGACTCCCTTCGCGTAGTCAGGGACCACTTCCTCTCAGTTTGCCCCACCACTCTCACCGTTGACCTCCTCGAGAAGTCCCTCCTAGCAGCAGAGAAGAGCATAGTGGCTGTAGGAGCCTCTCGTGGTGACCCTCGCACCCCCATCTTTGAGGGGTGTTCCCCCTCCCCCCTTTTGCCCTCTGTTGCCTCTGCTGCTGCGGCCGACCTCGTTGGGCTTGAGTCGGTCGGTGCGGCGTCTACCCCTAGCGGGAGACGCCGCCCTGGCAAGGGCAAGGGGGGCAGGGGCGCTGGAGGAGCTAGCGGGGGCGGTGGAGGCGGCAGTGGAGGCGGTGGAGGAGGTGGGGGTGGCGGTGGGGGTGGTGGCGGGGGTGGAGGTGTCGGTGGCGGCAGTGGAGGCGGAGGCGGCAGCGGCAGTGGCGGAGGGAGCGGAGGTGGCGGCGGTGGAGGAGGAGGCGGCGGAGGAGGTGGAGCTGGTCGGGGTGGCGCTGCGCAGAGGGTCGGCTCCGGTGGTGGTCAGCGCCAGCAGCAGCAGCAGCAGCAGCAGCGCACTCGTGACATCCCCTCCCCTCAGCAGCTCCGTGAGTGGTACACTGCACGCCAGAGGGGTGGGGGTACTGGTCCGTGCACCTACGTCCTCCGCACCGGCGACCGCGCGGGTGAGCAGTGCGGGGGTGCGCACTCCACCCAGCGCTGCTTTGGCCGCCTGACGGACGCTTGGCGTCACCAGTTCCCTGAGGCCACTGAGATCCCCCGCTGGGGTGAGCTGTCTAGGGCGGGTGTGGCTGTCTTTGACCTTGACTTTGATGCTATTCTTGCTGCCATGTATACTGTGACTATTAGTGATGAGGGTGACTGTTACCGGTGTTTTCCGCCCGACCCGGGCATTGAGACTGCTGCTCTAGGTACTGGTGAGGCTGCTGCTCTAGGTGCTAGCGAGGCTGCTGCTCTAGGTGCGTCTGCTCCCTCAGGTGCTGGTGAGTCTGCTCTCTCAGGTTCTGCGTCGGCTTCGGCCTCCCACACCTTCACCCTTGACTCGGGGGCTTCTCGCTCCTTCTTTCGAGACCGCACCACACTCACGCCGCTTAGCCGGCCAGTTGCAGTCTCTCTGGCAGACCCCTCTGGGGGTCCTGTCCTTGCTCACTTCTCCACTGTCCTCCCGTGTCCGGCGGCCCCCTCTGGCACCCTGTCTGGTCTTTACCTTCCCTCGTTCTCTACGAACTTGGTGAGTGGTGCTGACCTACAGGATGCGGGGGTTCACCAGTTCACTCCTGCGAGTCAGCGGGTGACCCACTGCACGGACGCTCGGACAGGCCGACACCTGGCCACGTTTACCCGTCGGCCGGGGTCGAGCCTGTACACCCTGACCACTGCGTCTCCTCCAGTCACTACGTCTGGTCAGGTAGCTGCGTCGGGTCAGGTGTTTGCTGCAGCGTCCAGGTCTGGTCCTGAGTCTGCCCCCTGTTCGTGTCGCCTCCTGTCTCACGAGACTCTCCTCTGGCACCACCGCCTTGGTCACCCCTCCCTGCTTCGTCTCCGAAGCATGGCCTCCCGTGTCCTTGTCTCTGGTCTTCCCCGGTCCCTCCCTCCCCTTCCTCCGGGGCCTGGCCCTACCTGCGTCCCCTGTGTCGAGGGGCTGCAGCGGGCTGCCCCTCACTCCTCCCAGTTTCCTCCGACAGAGGCCCCGCTGCAGACGCTTCACATGGATGTGTGGGGCCCGGCCCGCGTCCGTGGACAGGGTCACGAGCGCTACTTCCTGCTGGTGGTTGACGACTACTCGCGTTACACCACAGTCTTCCCCTTGCGCAGCAAGGGTGATGTCACTGAGGTGTTGATCGACTGGATCCGCGCAGCTCGTCTCCAGCTCAGGCAGAGCTTCGGCTCGGACTTTCCTGTTCAGCGTCTGCACTCTGACAGAGGCGGAGAGTTCTCCTCTGGCCTTCTGCGAGCCTACTGTCGTGCACGAGGCATCCGCCAGACCTTCACGCTTCCGGACTCTCCACAGCAAAATGGGATTGCTGAGCGCCGCATTGGCATGATCATGGATGTCGCCCGTACGTCCATGATGCATGCGGCTGCCCCCCATTTTCTGTGGCCGTTTGCGGTTCGGTACGCGGCGCACCAGATCAACCTTCACCCCAGGGTCTCCATGCCGGAGACCTCCCCAGCTTTGCTGTGGACGGGGAAGGTTGGCGATGCGTCTGCGTTCCGTGTCTGGGGATCTCGGGCGTTTGTCCGCGACTTGTCTGCGGACAAGCTGTCCCCTCGTGCTGCTCCTTGCGTCTTCCTTGGCTTCCCCCCTGACGCGCCAGGGTGGCAGTTCTACCACCCCACCTCTCGCCGTGTTCTGTCCTCCCAGGACGTCACGTTTGACGAGTCGGTCCCCTACTACCGCCTCTTCCCCTACCGCACTCCGTCCCTCCCCCCGCCACCGCTCTTCCTTGTCCCAGGTCCCCCCCCGGTAGACCCCCTCCCCCCTCAGGGTCCTGCCCCTTCAGGTGTGTCCCAGGTAGACGCAGTCGAGCCTGTCGAGGTTACTGGTGACTCTGGTGCTGCTGAGGGTGCTGAGCCTGGGGGTGCTGACTCTGGGGGTGCTGAGCGTGTGGGTGCTACGCCTGGGGGTGCTGAGCCTGAGGGTGCTACTACTGGGGGTGCTGAGCCTGGGGGTGCTGAGCCTGGGAGTGCTACGCCTGGGGGTGCTACGCCTGGAGGTGCTGAGCCTGGGGGTGCGGAGCCTGAGGGAGCTGGGCCTGCTC